TTTACAAGTTGCTGTTGATCCTCCGCTCACCATTTTACATATATACATATAAAACATATATATATATATATTGTTTGCTGCAAATGAACAAAGTTCTGTTCCGACCTCCGGGCGACCTGAAGCTTTCACCTTTTGCGGGAGCACGATGTTCTCAGCAAAGAAAGGCCTGTTTCGGGAGGTGCTGGACACATGGACCCATCCGTGTCAGGGGAGAATGCTTCAGGTTGGTCCCCCCATCCACTCGGCAGCCGCACACGTCTTCGTTGCGCGGGAGCCATCGGATCTCCTCCTCTCCTGCCAAAAGCGAGCTGCTGATTTCCACCAAAAAAACGTCAAGAAAGGCCCTAATGTAGACTCTTGATTAATAACCCCCTCCAATTGAATGCACTCACTTGCGGAGTCTTCTCGCTTCTACACCACCCCTTGCTGTTGTAGCGGGTGTGGGTAGAGTGGTGTGAGACAAATCTCCGAGGATGGAAAAACCTGGCCAACTGTACATATCAATCTACGAGAACGAAAAAAGGGCACAAACGGAAGTGGATGCACGAACAAGCAAGGTGTGGCTAGGCGCGAGAACCTCACTGAGATAAATTATCAACCAAATTCACAGGCATACTAGGGCACACCTAATTATCTAATTGTGGTTCGGATGCGAGATGTCATCAATTTTTGTTCTTGCGAGACATGGCATTGCGTACTTTAATCAGGAAAGGACCCTTCTGTTCCAACGTGAGCTCTGGCCATTGTGGCCATTCTTGAGGGGCCGGGTCCTCTGGGAGTGGCGGCATGGCCACGTCATTATGATAAGGTGGATTATGTGGCATATCCTGTAACCACGCAAGAACAAAATCGTAGGTCTGTTGAACATTCGGTAGCACAGGGCGGCGTGAGATACCCCCTTCATGATAAGGGGAGAACCCCAATCTGATGAGACTGGATGTCCCCTGTTTCTTGTACTGCGGAATAATTGTCTGTTTGGAAATGTTTGAATATGTTTGACCACCCAACGAAAATTATCCGCCAGGACCCGGACAGATCTCTGTTTAACAGGCAGTAAGGAGACTCGCGGGTCACTGAAAGGAAGGATCGTGGATGTATTACCATCCGAAATGCGGACCGGCAAGATTGAGTGCCATCAAAGCATGAAGGAGAAAGCCAGCTCGGTCCATGAAATACCTTGTTCCCCGGGTTGAGGAGAGTCAGCAGGATGCGGCCATTGGAGGCGCTGGCAAAACAACCATACCATACGTGTCAAATTAACGCCCCAAGGGCTGCACCAAAGCACAACCTTGTGAGGTTCCACCGGATGGGCGAAGGTCTTCCCCGTCCAAAGCCAGGGCTTTGAAACGCCTCTGCATATGGGGGGGTTATTAATCAAGAGTCTACATGAAGTAGTCCTGACATCTCACAATTGCAACATAGTGCAACATGAGGAAACAGCTGCCAGCTGTTGGTCAACAAGTCCAATGGTCCACAACTGTTGGTCAAGATTACTTGTCAAAGTGGGAAGGCAAAGCCACACGATAAACTAAGTATCAAAGCAAGCTAAATTTACTAAATGACCTTCAAATGAATGGGATGTGGACCAAATATCCCCCTTGGGCCCTTGCCTCAAAAGCTTCAGACTTGCCGAACATCTGTGCTGATCGAGCGAACATGATCAACGCAACCTGGACCCTTCACTCCTGGCGTTTGAAGACCTGTACCATTGGCTGAGACATCTCGAACGAAGAGCTGTGGCTCCTTCCATGCACGCATTGGCTGTGCAAAAAGAATGCAACACCCGAAGAACGTGGCGCGTGTTGCTGCCTTGTGTCATCCAGAACGCTATGGTGCCGTAGATTGACCAGGATGTTTAAGCAGGTGTTAAGTGTTAAGCGTGTTAAAGCAAACCCCCATATTCAGATTCAAGCAAAAGCATGCATCCTGATTCTGTCTGATCTTTGATGTGTGGGAGGGTAGGTATATGTACGTATACAAAATGCTCCTCACGTGTGTCACATGACACATATTTGAACAAAGGTGTCTATTTCACTCCTCGTCAGGCCGCTGTAGAAGTCGGATCTCTGCATGTATCCAGGAGACTCCAAGATGGTTGATGACCTGCAGTAGGATGTAAAGAGCAGGCACCCTTGAACACCCACACAAATGAAAAAAACAAGCATCGGCTGCATCCTTTGATGACCTTGACCTTTCTCCACCAAGAGCCTGTACAACCGAGAATCTCACAGAATCGACAGAATCATGTAAGGCTGTAAGGGAATCCACAGGAGCCCCGGCAATGGCGCCTTTTGGACAACGGCCAATCCGCGCCTGAGGCAGTCAGGTAGCACAACTAGTAGCGTCCGATCGCTCCTAATATGCCAGGAGCCCCTAGTAGCGTCCTTGCTCCTAGTAGTAAGGCCAGGAGCCCTAGTAGCTTCTTGTTACTAGTAGCGATGCCAGGAGCAATGAGTCTTCTGAGAAACAGTCTTGCAGTCTAATAGTGTAGTATATCGCAGTGTACTGCTATGGTTCTGCCGTGCTCTCTTGGACAGGTACCATGTATCGGTCCATCCAGAGGCACCAATTCCGCCCACGAGGAGCCCGCGTTTCGCGGGGATCTTCTTGCGGGATCGTAGCAGGAAGGGCGAACCATGACTCGTCAATGGCGAATGGATGGTGAGAGTTTGCCAAGAGATTTGAGCACCACGTGCTCATCCCCGTTTCAACTTTTGCACACATGCCACACCCCGCCCTGAGTCGCAAACCACCGTTTCATCATCATCATCTCCCTCGGTCTGCAGCTCACAATGCACTTCCTCCTCGGTGCCAACCGAGGATTCTTGTAGATGTTCTTTCTTGTCAATTCATCTCTTAATTGATTGTTCATTTGGGTATTCTTATATAAATGATCTTCTAAAACGAAAAATAACCCGTCTCTTCAATAGGACGATGAACGGCCACTGGCACCTACAGCACTGAGTGGCTGCTACAGTAGGCCTTTGCTTCTCCCTGTTTCGACTTGTCCGACCGTCCGTTCCCATCGTCCCCATCCTCACCATCAAGCTTTAAGGCAAAGGACAAGGCCTGGCAAATGCAGGGTGGTCTTTACACCAACCCTGGAATACCTCCAGAACTCCAGCTACGAAAATTTCTGGGATTGCGAACCGAAGGTCACTCGCCCGCGGACCTCCGAATCTGGGGAGCTCAACTTGCCATGTTGGACGACCCTGCACGGCGACCTCTCTTGGTGCCTGCTGCAACCGAACCAAGCCATCAAAAGCCCATGGCAAAGCCTCCATGAATCCACAGCACTAGCAGCCAACCGCAGCGGGGACACGGCCCTCCCATCCCTCCCACCTCCATTGTGGCACCCTGACAGCTGGTCAATGCGGTGGGGTCTAAAGACCGAACTGGTGCTTGGTCAGCTTGTTATTGTCCTCCATTACTTGATATATGTGGATGTCAGCTTGGTAACTGGTGCTTGGTCCAGTGGTTTGGGGTCAGAAGAACTGCCGGCACAACTGCAAACGCAGGCAGTCCGGTTGACCGCGCAGAAGAACCTCACCTTCGATGAGAACCGCGCATGACCCGTCGAGAACCGCCCAAGAACCGACCGGTCTAAGGGCTGGAGCCGGACGTCTTTGCAGTCAAATACTGCTGACAGCTTGGAATAGGGCTACTAGGGCCGAAGCCATCTTGGAGGCCGCTACTAGGGCACCATGGACTCAACCAATGCTACCAGCAGGACATTCTTGGACATATTCTATGTCCCACGTACCTTGACCCACTCCGCTTAGTTGTGATCTGTGGAGTGCCCAGCTTGCTTCAATAACATCATGACCTGGATCATCGAAGAGGCTCACTGAAGAATTGGGGATCCACTATGAGAAATGCCAAGAATCAATGCCAATGCGGAATCAATGCAGGATATGGACCGAGGTTCTGCTCAAAGTTTGCCAAGAAAGCATTGGTTGGTGGAAGACCAACGAACCAAAACGGTTGGTGGGCAGGGAACTCTCTCCATTGCAGCAGCTTTTCTTGGTGCTTTTCTCCATCGCAGCCAGTGAGTCCCTCCGGTCCTCACCTTCCGTTCCACCTGGCTGCGTGAAGAGTCCAATGGTGGATCATCCACGGATGGCGAGAGTGCAAGTGTGAACCCAAAGTCACCTGGAAAGTGCACAGCAAAACACTTATTACTCTGGGCCCATGGCTAGATGCCTTGCAAAAAGCAAATGAGAGAGTTGCGGTCCCCTGATTGCAACTGAGGACAATGCATTCTGAAGAATCAAAACAATGGCAATAGGCAATCACATATACTCAAAGCAACAAAAGGAACAACACTGACCATGCAGTTACTGACCATGCAGTGAATGCTCCGGAACTTCAACAACCGGCTCCTGCCCCGGCCACCCTCAGCCCTTGCCATGCTCGCCTGGTCTTACAACCTGGACCGGCAGCGCATCATGGAGAAGAAGAGACTTGGAAAGATTGTCCTCCAAGTAGCTCAAACGAGACCTGAGATTTTTGATTCTAGCCCATCTAGCCGTCACCTAGCCAAATTTAGCCCCAGACTAAGCTTCGCTGCAAATCTACCAACAAGACCCTCCCAGTACAACGAAAGCCTTTTGATAGAGTCATACACGAAGAAGATCGAAGAAGCAATTTATCCACTTTCCAGCATGGCGGCACTGAACTCACCACTCAACAACCTCTGCTCTGCGTGCGTATCTCCAAATCCAAGAGTGTCCAAACAAAAAACGCAAAGATGCGCAAATCTCTGGAGGAGAACAACATGGCTGGCAAGGTACATAACTTGAGACCCTAATTGCCGACTCGGCTTCTGACATCCCCAACCCCAATCCATGTCCTCAAAAGCCGAGCCAGTCTCGCATCTAGGGCGGCGGGCACCTGGGAATGGACCGCTCTCGTGATTCGTTCCAGTTGCCGGGATCAAGCTCCCTAGTGGACGCGCAGGATGCATTGGACGCGTTGGACGCGTTGGATGCCTTGCACCCTTATGAAGGTCTTTCCAGCAAGCATGGACAGGTCCAAGGAGTTCAGGTTCATGCAAGCAATGCAGTTCGGCAGTGTCCTCTTTGTTTGAACTGACTGCTGAAAAACACAAGGTGCAAGAGAAGGCTTCTTTCACCCACCAGCGAGCTGGGTTGAACACTTGCGAATGATCAGAAGCTTCGGTCATTGAAGCTGGTGTACAACAGATCCGACGTTGCCCCAAACAGGGCCAAACATCTGTCAGTTCCCCTGTGCAGCGTACCATTTCTGCTTTTCTTCTTGCGATGCCAGCAAGCACTTTGGGCGCTAAAACGTGGGGCGAAATACCTCGGCAGCAGCATGCACTTATGAAGATCGTGACCCTGGACTCAGACGACAAAGCACTAGTTCAACAGCGAAACCTTGTCTTTTAAATGAAGCCCTCCGGACTTCGGCCATGACTCAACAGCAAGACCTCTCTGTTCGGCTTTTGGTGAATTCACGAATTGCCAGTTGTGTTGCTCTGCCTCTTTTCAAAGTCCAGGCTTCAACATCAAATGGTGCGTCTAAAGCAACTATCGTAACCACCATCAGCATGGACAAACATGGTATTCTCAGCACCTCTACATTCACGTGTCTTGCAAGTTCCCAGGAAATTCCCCAGGCCGCCTTAGGCCATCGCTACTAGGTTGGAGGCCATCGCTAGTATGTTGGAGGCCATCGCTAGTAGGTTGGAGGCGATTGCTACCATCGCCAGTAGCCATTGCAAAAGGAGGTTGGAGGCCATCGCTAGTAGGTTGGAGTCATCGCTAGTAGGTTGGAGGCCATCACTAGTAGGTTGGAGGCCATCCCTAGTAAGTTGGAGGCCCTCGCTAGTGGGTTGGAGGCCATCGCTAGTAGTTGGAGGTCATTGCTAGTAGGTTGGAGCTCGTCGCAAGTAGGTTTGAGGGCATTGCTAGTAGGTTGGAGGTCATTGCTAGTAGGTTGGAGGCCATCGCTGGTAGGTTGGAGGCCATCGCTAGCAGTTGGAGGTCATTGCTACTAGGTTGGAGGCCATCGCTAGTAGGTCTTTTCCAAACCCTCCAAGACCTCCCTCTCCCCTGCCTTTGGCCACATCCTCCACCACGTGCGTGCCCACTCTGCGGGCTGCGTGTCGCCCATGCTCTGTGGCCTCAGGCGCCCGCATGGATCCGATGGATCCCGGCCACACTTCGTTGCAGCCCGTTCCAGCACTAGAATGTCTACTAAAAGAAACGATTCTATTGGTCTTATGTATATGTCTTTTGGAACAACAGCTGTGAAATCGCTGAAAGCTGGTAAATCTTTGAAAGCTCGTAAGGTCTAGTCTAGTTCTCAACTGGGCACACCCAACTATGTAGCCTGGGCAAACAGTGGTTACCTCGGTTCATTTGCAAAGCAAGCAGAACTTTGGGACTTCAGCTCGGTTCTTCACTCTGAGCATGTCTTGGCTCGGTGCTGCAGGAGGTACCAGCAGAACAGGAGAAGCATAATTCGATCTCCGAACGCTACGATTCACACCACACTTCTCACAAACGTATCACCTGCACCCCTCTCTCTCTCTATCTATCTATCTGTCTATCTATCTATCTATCGCTCTGCGTGTCATTGTCATTGACAATCTTCCCTACAACTGATAGCTTGTCCCGAACGCCTAACATTACATGCCCACTGCTCAAACTTGCAGGGTCACCTAAGTATCTGACGGCGATTCCGTTCTCAGCCACCTCTGCCCTCAGGGAGTCGTAGAAGCCAACCGCAGCATGCTGCGGGCATGGACGCAATGAGCAATCGAAACACCCATGTGACCTCAGCCTATCAAGGCACAAACTTGTGTGGTTAACCAAGCGGCCGAATCTCCCGCCCAATCAAATGCATCAGAGGTTGTCCTACTTAACTCCAGCTCGTGCTGAGACCACGGTGGACAACGAATCTACTAGTGTGCGGAGAAGAGTTGCAACTTGATCAGCTGCACGAACCTGATCAAACAACTTCCTTGGGTTTCCAAGAATTAATCCTGTTTGCCTGTGGATGGCCTGGGTACATCTTAACTCTCTCCAGTGAATCATACTATATTGACATCCCCGCAAAAAGATTACATGAACATACATACCCTGTCACATCCCGGTCACAGCCCTGCCTTTGCTGCTGCATAGGCCGTTCGACCCGGCAAACCAAAGAAGCCCTGACAGGGTGCTATGCAGGATGCTCCAGGTGGGTACCAGTGCTTCGTCTATCGGCTTATCGGTCCACCTGCGGGTCATGGAAGAAAACTGGCTAATAGTAGTTGGAATGGTCTCCAACCTGGAAGCTTTGGCCTCCAGCCTAATAGCGATGGCCTATGACTATGTCATCATGTAACGACTATGTGCACTGTAAACATGTCCAAGCCTCAAATAAAGATGCATTTCCGGGGGCTCAAAGCACAGAAATCCACACTGCTTTGGCCACAAAAATCAAAGTCTCAAAGTCTGCAAGCTCTGCAGCTCCCGACCCGATATATGCATGAAACTCCAAAGATGGAGTTCTGTTGCTGGGATCTTCAGGTCACCATGGAGTTCGCTCCTGGGACTGGTTCTTCATGACAGGAGTGCACCCGAAACGTTCGTTCTCAAACGTTTCGGCCCGCCTGAACCGAGGAAATCTGGACCACGTGCCCACTCTGCCTGGAACCAGGTGGCCGACCGGACGGGAGCTAAGGTTAGCCGGTTAGCATGTGATGTGAATGGCCTCTGGATCCATTCTGGAAGTAAAGCCTTCGTCAGGACCACGCCACTGAAGAAATCAACATTCATCACATGCTGGTCTTCCTCACGGACTCGCAGGCATCAGAATGAGGGCTAGAATGCAGAATGCACCTGTGGATGTATCCTTCACGTGAAGTTGTTCAAACAATATTTGCCATGCTCAATATGTTTTCTTGTGTTCTGTTGAGTACACAACTTTAGACTTTAGATAATTACAGTAAGGCATTCCTGTGGAGAAGAAGCACACTCTAGACATGCTGATTGTCTCCCATTCAATGCATGTGCAAGAATAGCCATGAAGCCTCAATCATAAACCAAAGTGATGCAAGCACTCAGCCTTCCACCTCAACCAGAATATATGATTGTGACAAAGCACTTTGGTTTCGGCCACGTCATGGCTTGAGCACATAAAGTGCTTTTTGAACATGAAAGAACATGATATTGCAAACTTAAAATACTCATCAACGCTTGTCCCATTTCCCCCACCCGAGGACGTGCTACACAAACTTGCCGGCCTCGATGGACGTCTCCTGCCCGAGGCCTCTAAAGCCGACCCCCCCATTGTTCACCAAGACGTCCACTCTCCCAAAGAGCCCTGGCAGCCAGTGTAGCAAAGGGGAAATCTATGAGCCTTTGCGAGAACACGCATCTGGAGTGGTCAAAGGAAACTTCTTGGAAAAGCAACTGGCAAAAGTAGATCATTAAAAAAGAAAACAAGCAACCATTTGCACCCTCTACAGCACCTACAAGGAGCTGTTAGACCGCAGGGACATACTATGAGACCCTTTTGTCGTCTCTTTAGAGAGCGCGGAGGACAAGAATTGACCCTGCAAGCTTGGAACCTGCGAGGAACTGCAAAACAAAGGCCGTTTTCCATGTGAACTCACCCGGTCTCCCCAACATGATGCAAAAACTGCCCAAGACGTACGAGGTCAATTTAGGCTGTCCAGTGTGAACAGTACTTTCGCAAGCTTGAAACCTATTTGAGCTTCTGAGCAAACCTCATGACCTCAGAATCCTTGGGAAGCTTCCATCGAGGTTCTTCAAAGTTCGCGCATGACCTGGAAATCATCATGCATGACCTCGTAGTGTCGAAGAACATGGGGGCAACGACTCGCCACACTCCTCGACCTCCGGGCCTTTGGCCCTTTCAGCGACTGGGCCCAATCGGGAGAGATCGGAGAGATCCAGCGGAAGCACCTCAGGACGGATCGCGGGCTCCGCGTGGGCTCGGGAGCTGAGCGAACGACCGGACGCCGCGCCACCTCCGCATTCAAATTGGGAAAGAGCTCCAGGCACCGCGACCTGTAGCAAACAACTCAAGTTGGTGTCGGTCAGACACGAAAAAAACAAGTTGGTCAAGCCGGATGTACAGTTACAAGCACAAGGAAGGCCTCTCATTAGAGAAGGTTTTAAGAAAAAAATGTCAATGAATGCTGGTGGCAAATGTCTACAGAGTCTGCTCCAGTCATTTTCCTCACTGACCACCGCGCCTGACCCGCTCCAACTCATCTTTTCGACGAGCGCTCAGGATGAGACCACCGGGTTTCGCCTGAGAATTCAGGACCATCCAGACTCAAGTTTGGGCCATCCATTGATATGTAGTATGGAGTATGGAGGGCCTGGATCACTGAATTGGCTTCTCATCCAGTCCGTCCCTGGCCATCAATCAATCTGTGGCTGGAACATCCAACCAGGCATGCCGGTCACTGTCAGGAGCTGGAGCAGAGCGGGCTGGACCGACCAAATGAGAGCGATTTATGAAATGCAAAGACAACTCATTCTTTTCTGAATGCAAAACAGAAAGCTCAAAACCAGAACCGATCAAATGGTTGGGGAGGTCACAAAACGATTACTGTAAAAACATGGATCAAGTGCATCAACCCCTGCATCAATCTTGACCCACCGACCGTACTTCGCACGACAGCCTTTTAACAATGCCACAGGATATCCATCACAAATCACCACAGTAGTCTCCCTGACAGCTAGGTGGGTAGTTCTCAAAGAAAGCCCTAAGCCGCCCGCAAATCCTGCCGATATGTGGTGAAAAAAATCCTCCAGCCCCCTGCAACCCACCAAAAAATGAAGAAATTGAAATACATCGCCCACAATCACCCTCACAACAAGTTGCAACCATTAGTTACAAGTCTGCTCAGTCCTAGCATGCCTTGAAGCACCGTCCTAGCATGTCTAGAATCTGCCGGTGAGTTCCCCTCCACCCTTTACGGTCGCGCCACAGATTGGCACAGGGCAATGCATAGCGCTTCACCGAAGCCGGCAGAGGCTCCGGTCACCCAAACCACCTCGGTGAGTTCCCGTCGGATCGAAGACGCAAAGGCAGAGAGAAAGGAAAGGTTCTTCATTGAGAGCGAGCGAGAGAGCGAGCGAGCCAGAGAGATGTTAAGAGACAAGTTTTTTCACAATAGCTTACTTACTCCATCGTAGTGTTGATGTACAATTGCATGGTGCTATACAATGCACCTTGGATCAAAGGCCTTGAGCTTAGCTTGAGCCTAAGGACAATTGCCAGAGGGGAAAACAATACAGAGACGTGCACAAACAAACGACAAACAAAACAGCTGCTGAATCTTACATGGTAGCGGAGCAAGGATCCTGGTAACAACAATCCAGGTGAGCTCCAATACAACCACAGGAACAGACACACAAACACAGACAACGGAGAACAAGCCTTGACCCTACAACAGGTAGCTTGTACAGCTGCAACAATGGCAGCACAACCAGCAGCAGCTCAAGCTGGAGATGGCCTACCTCCAGTTCCAGAAGACGAGACAATCACCAACATGGCAAACATGAACAGATACAAACTCAAACCACCTTTCTTCAATGCAAACTATGGCACGTTCGAGGAATGGAAGTACAAGTTCACAGCATACATGGGATTGCAAGACAATGATTACAGAGAACTACTACAAGCAGCAGAACGAGGCACAGCAGAACTCACAGAGGTACAATTACAAGCAGCGGCATCAACAATCGAAGACGGTGAACGACATGTTCGCCTCAGCACTGATTTGAGGTACATCCTCATCAACACAACAACTCGAGCAGCAGCTACAGTATGCAGACAATACCCTCACAATTGGCTTCGAGATGTACCGACAACTGTGCATCCGCTTCTCCATCCCATTGGGGACAAGATCCATAGGATACTTGACAAGATTGTTGAAACCAACATTTGACAAGAACAACTTTGAAGAATCATTTTCCACATGGGAATTTGAGCTACAAAGATTCGAGCGAGACAATGGACAAACACTCTCAGACTCCGTGAAGATTGCCGTATTGCTCAACGAGACAAGCGGACCACTACAACAACACTTACAACTGCTTTCAGGACAAAGCCCAAACTATGCACGAGTCAAACAAACAATCATCGAGTACTACCGATCAACAACTGCATTCAGCAAACTACAACAACTACGATCACAGTCATCCAGTGTAGCAACAAGCTTTGGTGGAGGACAAGCACCTATGGACATTGATGCAATCCACAAAGGAAAAGGGAAGTACAACAGTTACAAAGGAAAAGGGAAAGGAAAAGGAAAGAACAAAGGCAAAGGCTACGGAGGATACAACGGCTACGGCTACCACAGCTACAACATCAACCACAAAGGAAAAGGAAAGTATGGAGGAAAAGGATTCAACAACTACAACAACAGTCCGATCGGCTTTGGCAATCCATTCGGAAGAGGCAACAAAGGAAACAAAGGATTCAGCAAAGGATACAACAAAGGCAAAGGAAAGAACAAAGGAAAACAAGCAACAGATACATGCTACAGATGTGGAAGAACAGGACACTATGCCAAAGATTGCCGAGTGGCAATACACAACATTGGACAAGGAGAAAGCAATGACATTGAAGATGCGACAGCACAATGGTACGACGACTACTATGACAATGGATGGCACTTTCAGGACTACACACGGCAACCACAAGGACAACAACCATTGGCACTACCACCAATTCCATCCACCGGCAACCATGACATGACACCAATTCATGTCATCGCCATGATCAACAATGGCAATGACTACAAGACAGATACAGCGAGTAGCGGCACAACAGACACTATGCACATCATGATCGACAGTGGAGCAGCCACACATGTCTGTCCACTATGGTTTGCAGACAACTATCCAGTGTACAAGATCGACCAAGCACAAAGCCCAAACCTCAGGACAGTGACAAACAAGACAATACAATGCTATGGAGTAAGATGGGTCTACATGCAATCAAAAGGACAACCAATTGTCATACCATTCTATGTGTGTGACATCCATGACCCAATCCTGTCAGTGACAAGACTGGCAGAACAAGGCTTTGACATCAGGTTCAACGACACTCCAACAATGCGCCATGACAAGGGGTTCAATGTTCCCTTGGTGCAGCAGCACAATCTCTACTACTTACCAGCAACAGTCATGAACCTGGGACAACATCAACAATTACAGTTGAGACAAACACAAAAGGGCATGATTGCAATGATTGCCCCAACAACACTGACAAGACATGGACCACAACAAGTTCTTGGAGGCAATAGCGACTACTGGAACTACAACAATGAAGGATACCTTGTACGGTATCACCGGAACAAGAGGAAAGCTCTCTTTGTTCCTGGCGACAATTGCAAGTACCACTGGAGACATTGAGCAACTACAGACGAACAATCATTCGACGAACAGACGGGAACAACGAAGACATTGTTGAACAATACCATGACTTGAGCAAACACGAACAACGACGAGTGATACAAGGAGACACGTGGACAGGAGAAACATGGTTCAGAGTGAACAAGCCGCCAGCACAACCGGCACCTACAACAGCGAAGACAACAGAGCAGACAGAGAAAGCATCACAAGCAATACAGACGCGACACCAATCCACAACACTACGACTCCCGGAACAAAATGAGACAACACAACAGGTAAGCAGAGAGCCACTGTACAGACATACAACGAAGAAGCCAGCAACAACAACCACGGCAGTACCTGATCCATCCACAATGACACCAACAACAGACTATTGGATCAGAGAAGGACACTATTGGAAACGAGTTCACGTACAAGCACGGACAACAATGTACGTACCACAACAGACAGATGATGGTCCAGACATTGGACGACCCAAACCTACCCGGACAACATTCGTGAACAGAACGGAACAAGGAAGAGGATACACAATCCATGACAATTGGCACGAATCAGGAGCAAGACAGCTTGATAGACAATGGACAGGATCAACAAACTTCGAGGAAGAAGCGACGTACAAGTACGAGTACGATACGGATAATGAAGATGAATCTCAACAAGCACAACGCGCCAAAGGAATGAAGGCGCCACAACAACCAACAAGACAAGAGAGGCTAGAACATGAGCTGACACATTTACCATATCGCTCATGGTGCCCAATATGTGTCAAGAGCAAAGGAAGAACAGACAATCACCCAAAACAAGCAAGCAAACAACCAGTGATACAAGTGGACTTCACCTACATGAAAGCATTTGGAGACAAACAAGTACTACCAGTACTCACGGCAATAGATGCCGAATCAGGTATGGCAATGGCAGTTCTTGTACAAGACAAGAACCAACAACAACAATACCTGACACGATGTCTACAAACATTCATGTTTGAATGTGGACGAGCACAAGCAACACTATCCACCACAACACTACAATCAGACCAAGAAGAATACATACAGAACCTGCTGAAGACCGTCGCACAAAAGCTCGGAAACAACGTCAACATCCGACAATCACCGGCATACTCGTCACAATCACAAGGAAGCATTGAACGATTCCATCGCACCTTGATGGGACAAGTCCGAGCACTGGTACAACAAGTGACCACAAGCTACAACCTCACATTGAGCGTACAACATCCGGTCATGCCGTGGATTGTACGGCGTGCAGCCTGGCTACTGAACAGGTATGCCATGCACAATGACGGACAAACAAGTTACCAAAGACGATGGCAGAAGGACCACAAAGCACCACTATGCGAGATGGCAGAAACAGTACAATACATGATACCAACAACAAAAGCACAACCCAAGATGGAGCCAAGATTCTTCAAAGGAATCTGGCTTGGCAGGGATGCAATGACTGGAGATCAATAGTCGGCATCCCTGGCAAGGTTATCAAAGCAAGAACAATTCGAAGACAGATCATGCCAGACAAGTACGACAAGCAACTATTGGATACCATCAACGTGTATCCATGGAATTTGCCAACAGCACCGATGGCAGTTCCAACACAATTGCTTCTACCAGCTGACAATACCACAAACAGACAAGCAATTGGCACACAGGCTGACACTACAATGGAAGATACAAGCACGCAGACAGTACAAGAGACACCACTGGCATTACCAGCACCAGCAATGCATCATCAGCCAATGGATACAACAATGGCAACATCACCATGGGCAACTTCACCAACAACAATGGCAAGACCACCACTGCCATTACCACCAGCAAGCAAGCGACAACATGAGGAGCCTACAGGTGAAGCACAATCCAAAAAATCAAGGACAGCACAGTCCTCAACAGCAGCAAACAGAGGACAAGATGAAGAACAACCAAAAGCAAAGATGAGAATACAAGCAGTGACAATCACCACAAAGAAAGGTGACAAGATCACCACAGCATCCTGTGAAGATGAACAAGAAGCAGAAGTGGAAAGGATGCTACAAGAACCCTTCGTCTACGACAATGAAGGTCTTGACCCACTGAAAGTACAACAAGGAATGAAGAAAGAAGCACAATCGATGAAGACACAAGGAGTGTTCACAGAGATGAACTACAATGATGTCCCAGAAGAACACAAAAACAAAATCATAGAGTCCAAGTGGGTTAACAAACCCAAACAAGATGAAGTACGATGCCGCATAGTAGCAAAAGGTTTCCTGGAAACAATCCAAGACCTTGACAACATCTATGCGAGCACACCAATCTTTGGGATCTTACGTATCCTACTCACAATGGCACAGCACAACCACTGGACGATACAAGCAGCAAACATGTCAACATCATTCCTACATGCACCAGCAGCGACAGACAATCTTTACATGTGGCCACCACCAGAACTATACCCAAGTGGTCACAACACAACCACAGTGTGGAAGCTCAACACAGCAATCTATGGACTCAACACAGTGATGGTCTATGTGGATGATCTACTATTCCTGGGACAACAACAAGAAGTCGACCAGACTTTCAAAGAAGTACAAAAGCATGTACTACTACGACCAACCGGCACATTGGGAATTGGTCAGACAATCCAATTCCTTGGCAGAGACATCCACAACAATGGAGACTTCTTTGAGGTGAGCCTCAAACCAGAATACATCACTACATTGCTGAAGGAAACAAAGATGGAAGCAAGCAATCCACCATCAACTCCAGGGACGGCAACCCTGAAACAATCCACAAACGATGATGCACCTCTAGATGCACAAGAACATGCAGACTACAGGAGAGCAGTAGGAAAGCTACAATGGCTGACCTACACAAGACCAGACATCAGCTTTGCAACAAAAGAACTAGCACGAGATCTACAACAACCAACACAGCAAAGCCTTCGCAAGGTGAAGCACCTCCTACGATACCTCAGGGGAACACAACACTACAAGATGATCCTCAGGACAACACATACACCACAGACAAAGGAACCCATCGACCTCAACATTTATGTCGATGCAGACTGGGCAGGATGCCCAAGCACAAGAAAATCAACAAGTGGATTCATCGTGACAATGATGGGATCCGTGGTACAATTTGGAAGCAGAACACAAGCAGTAGTAGCATTATCATCAGCAGAGTCAGAACTATATGCAATAGGAACAGGAGCACAAGAAGGACTACATATAGCAAACTTCATCAAGGAAGCCACAACAACAAAGGTGAACATTCGCATACACACAGACAGCACAAGCGGCAAAAGCATTGCCAATCATTGCAACAAGAATTGGCTCGTCAAAGAAAGCAAAGCACATTGACCTGAAGTACCTCTTCATACAACAACTGGTACAAAGCGGGGTACTGTCAATACACAAGATCAGCACACACGACAACCCAGCAGACATACTGACAAAGTATGTCCCGGCAGAGGTGCTTAACAAACATCTCTACATGGCGGGCATTCAATGCCCACAACACCACAACTGAACTGCGATCGCACAAACAGTTTCACAACCATGGCAGCATCCACGCGTGTACAATACATACACGGCGGCATCAAGCCATGGCACACTACTTTAGCTACTATGTGCATACTATGTCATAGACAATATGTACTACAAGATTTCAGTCTCACAAAGGATCCAATCTTTCTGTCGTCGACTCGTAGAACAATTCGATGAACTATGTGTTTGAAGTGTTGCTTTCTGAATTTGGAAGACAATGCATGTTCAGTTGACCGCAGCCGCTTCCCGGCACACGAGCGCTGACGATCGGGATCGACTTTCTCGAGAACAATTTCAAGGGCAACAATGGCCATGGAGATGGCGATTCCAGACTACCACAATCAGCGTCGACTTCCCACAAACTCGACAATCTCCTTGTGGGAGGACCGAGCAGTCCTATACAATGAGAACAATATGGAAAGGTCAGAAGATGAAGAAGAGGAGAAAGGGCACAAAACGCCCTCGACAATCGACCAGCGACCAGATGGAAGAGTCGCAAGAGTAGAACAATGGCTCTACAAGCTGCAAGTCTCTGGCAACAATGCCCACGAGCACCACGATGAGAAGGGCAACAATGCTGGAGAGACAATGGCAGAAAAGCTGTACAGACTTGCTAACAATTTTTGAACTGCTTTGTACAATAATGTTCCTTTACTGTTTCAACAATGTTTGTATTGATGGTGTGATTCAACAATGAATCAAACCAAGGGACGGTGTTAAGAGACAAGCTTTTTCACAATAGCTTACTTACTCCATCGTAGTGTTGATGTACAATTGCATGGTGCTATACAATGCACCTTGGATCAAAGGCCTTGAGCTTAGCTTGAGCCTAAGGACAATTGCCAGAGGGGAAAACAATACAGAGACGTGCACAAACAAACGACAAACAAAACAGCTGCTGAATTTTACAAGAGAGAGAGAGAGAGAGAGACAGAAAGAAAGAAAGAAAGAAAGAAAGAAAGGACAGTACATGTTCTTCTGTACCAACGCGCCAAGTCGCGCTTTGCTACGCAACACTGTTGATTCTGCACAGTCCCACTTTCCTAGACGAGGTGCAAGATGTCCTTCTAAGGGATGACGCCCAAACCCGACGTGGACTGATTCAGATTCTGTTTTGGATGCTCTCGTCATACTCAGATCCATTTATAAAAGGTTTCGGCTCCAGCTCCTGAGTCAACCAAACTGCTCACACGATCTTCATACCCGCACCTTGTCAGAGAAATACTCCTGGCGCACCGAAGCTCAGGCCAGGGAGGTGCCAGAAGCATCAAAACGCAAGATATCCCTCATGTCCACAATATCAAGTGTGCTATGTGCATGAGACCACAACTGCCAAGAATTACTTATAAACAATCTCCTTTGCAAGAAGTCCTTCCTGTTGTAGATGTGGTTTCGGCCCGGGCTTTACCCAAGTCTGACCACAGGGAGCATAAGAAACATCGGAAACATGAATATTTATATAACCTGTGGTCGTCAAAACCTGTGATTCAACCTTGATGTAGACTGGCTAAAGCCAATGGATGGATTGAGTACCTTCTTCGCGGGGCACTTTGTTCACAGAAAATGTTTGCTTGACCCACACCACCAAGCCTGCCAAACTCACCCAGCACCCATTTGGTACGTCATCTAAGGCAAAATGCCTTTTTCCCGAACCAGCCACCCACCGTCCGTTGGTCCTCCATCACCACCAGATCTTTATGTTGAAAAGAACCGGCCAACAAGCCCATCACAGGAGCCCTCGGCAGCTACCTGCAGTCAGCACAAGCCACTGCAGCAGTTTGCGAGTCTGCGGCGCCCAAAAAATGAAATCTGCGCACTTGCTCAGGGGCAGCATGTCTTTTAGTGTGGAGTGTGGACAAAGCATGCAATCCGACAAGGATCCCGATCTGCGACACCAAGCCAGACCTTCCCTGCTCCCCTCCTGGCCTTTTGCTGCACCCCAAAAAGGCACCCGGTTCCAGGCCGCAGGGGCTGAGGCCCCTGGCAGAATGGGTTCTTGAAGACAAGGGAGGTGGTTTCACAGAGGTTTCAGACACGGTAAACACCATGGGATGAATTGAAAAACTCATTGTTTGAGTGGCCAAGGCGAGGAATTCCACAGAAATTCCCCCCGATTTTTGTTGGCCCTAGCTCATGGTCACTCAGTTCAATCAAACTAACTACGTCCAAAAAGGATTGCATGGTATATGAAAACAAAAAGAGCTCGATCCCCGGATCTGGCATCGTCCGCATCCCAAAGATCTCATGCTACTTCGCGATCTCATGCTGCAGCCGACCCCGCAAAGCCTAGCCTTCTGAGATTCTACATGATTCTAGATGTACAGTGCACCATGATTCTTGGGGTGCTGGGATGTACTTGACTCACTGCCCACACACAATGATGCGAGCCGTTCTGGAGGGCCTTTGAATTCTGTGGAGGAGGGAAAAGCCAAGCTAAACACTGTACAAACTGAGCTGAAACGGCGGAAGTACAAGTGTTGTCCAATGAGACTTGGATTTCTGAAAGTGGATGAACGAACTTCCCATAATCAAGATGCTTTCACTCACGTTGTCCTGTCATGTTGTAGGCCCACTACGAGAACAAAGTCTTCCCTCACGAAACAGAATTAAGTTAAATGTTGAGTGATTTCTCACCGACGCTTGGTGTACAAAATCTTAAACTCTTGTCTGTCAAGGCTCCGAATCACCAAGAGGAGCAAAAGTCTGGAAAAAACGTCTCATGTGGCGTCGTGTCTTTTGTGTTGCCGTCACAAATCGCGCGTCCCTCAAACTGGAAAGTCTGCAAACTGTGACAGCAAAGCTCAGCTCAAGTTCTCGAAAGGGCCAGGCTTTGTCCCTCAGAATGTCAAAGAACCTCCACGGACTGTCCAGGTGCACGTGTTGATGCTACGGCTACTCCGGTGCACCGGTTGGGACGGTATTAGGTTGGAGGCCATTGCTAGTAGTTTGGGACGGTCATGCCGAGCGGGAGCAGAGGCCGCCCTCCACCTCCTCGACAGGTCACTCCGACAGGTCACTCAAGGCCTCGGATGGGGTGAGGCCGGACCTCGACACCCGTCGCGTAAAGCCCTTTGCACAAACCAATGAGGTGGTTCAATTTTTGGACTTAAACCCTCTTGTGAGAAGTTGAGGACTGCAACAGCCGGCAAACTGAGCCCGCAGCGGAAATGCGCTGGTCGGCTGCCAATGCCTGGATGGAACAGCACATGAAAAATTGGGCACCGAAAAGTGACGTTGAGGACTTTCAGCATCTCTCAGCTACGCCCACAACTCGCAGGTCGCCACACCACAAGGTGTCCACACAACGACCGTCGGTCGTCGTCGCTTCGCGGCGTCGCGGCCGTCGCGACCGGTCCTCGCGTAGGAGCTGCTCCAGCATGTCGCCCAAGAGCGCTGCGTTGTGATTCCTGCTCGGCGTCCGAAGCGTCGCGGAACGCGACACGCGACGCGCGGTTCCACGTCGCGGAGAGACATGTCTGCGCTCCAAATCCGTCTGGTCTCTCTGGTCTGTGTGAGCCCGTGGGCAAAAGGAATGGGAGCCCGAGGACTATTGTGAGCTTTTTTTTGAAGTGTCAAGTTCTTAGCACAAAAGGCACTCTTCACGAATTGTATCTCAAGAAGCAACATCGCAACATTATTTTTGGGGGGACATTGGCAAGACCCAGATATCATCATCCCGCCGTCCTCTCTGGGAAGCAGTCAGCTTCCAACGTGAGCACACCAGTTTTCTGTCGCGGGCTGGGGAGAAATGGCATTTCTCATGATCATATTGTTTATTTCAATGGATACTCAGTTCAAAGGTACATCATTGCAAACAGTCAAATCCAAAAAAACATGTATCATCTAAGCCTTGCTACTGGCTACATACTGTAGCATCTTCTTTTACCATCAAACTCTCGCGATCGTGTTTTGCAGTTTTTGAGCTGCTCATCCTACCCACCTAGCACTAGCAACCATGTCTTCGCTACACCCGGACTGCCATGTCTTCGCACTAGCTACCCATTCCCTTCCCTCCGGACCACCCGGCAGCCTCACAAATCCGGTCATGGCCGACAATGTCAATTAAACGCTCTTTCTGCCTCAGTCGAGAACGAGTAACGACCACTGAATCAGAAGGGAATCTTCCCCACGGATCCCCACGGCCACTGAGACGAGACAGCAAGGCTTAAGAACAAAGGCTTCCACCATGGCTTCGTGTCTGAAACAAAGGAAGCCTGATGATCACTGGGCACAGCTTCAGCATACGCGAAAGAAACCTGAACACTGTTCGCTCATGCTTGTCATCTGGAACAAAGAAGAGGTGCAAATGGATGCGAATGGCTTCAAAACTCACATTCAAGAACTAATGGCTGAACTAGCTCACTCCAACTACTGCTAGCATGTAAGACCCGTAAAGCATCAACTGTTGAGTCTTTCATGCCTCAAAAAACCATCAGCTGGGTCACCACACCGCTGTGTTAGCGGAAGGTCACAAAGACGAACCTCAGGGATGCGCTGGAAGAAATACGCAATCCCTTCATGTAAAGCAGTGTCAACGCACACAATTTATCAGCCTCATGGGCACTAAGAAAGGGGGAGAGAGGGAGCAAACAGAGCCCATACACCCTGTAGGTTGCAAGCAAGTGACTCAGATGCATCTTGACAGCATGTTGCATTGTTGTATCTCAATCCGTCTTAAAGATTCTTATATATATATAAAGGGCTGCAAAAGCCCTGGTGCCCCAACAGGCCATTTATGTATGGATACATGTTAAAGACCAAATGTGAGAGACAGGCCAGACACGAAAGAGATGAGCTTTGCTGAGTTCTGGTTTGTCCATGGTTGGAAGGTGGTATGGACGTTGTACTTTGTGAATGAAGAAAAACAATGTGTGCAAGTCTGAAAGGGCAAAAAACTTGGAAAGCGGTCTTATTCTTTGCAGCGGTAGAGTCCACAAGGTCGCGTTCTGATTGGCCGCTTTTTGGTGTTGTGCCCTTTATCAAAGACCAAATCAACGTAGATGCACACGTCCTGTCAGGCCACCAGCAACAAACACAAAGGACATATCTATTTCAATCGTCCCCAACATAAAAGGCAGCCAAAAAGACTGCTAAAAGAAATGCAAATTCAAACAACAAAAAAAGCAACACCAAATAGCAGTAGCAAAAAAAAGTGCAAAACATCAAATCATCGCGCTCGAATCTCTGGCTAGATTTTAAAACAAAACTCAGAACGGTAGACCCCAAAGACACTGCTGTTGTTGAGAAGAGCAGCTCTATCAGCGACTCTATCAGTAGCTGTGAAAAAACGACAAAACCTGCTGAGGCCATGGACAGCCACTCGGCAACCTACCATGGAGCCCTCGTACCTCACCAGGACGTTGTCGCAGCTGGGGATGTGTGCGATGTGTGCGAATCAAAACAAATCTGATTGGCCAACGAGAATGTTGTGCAACGAGAATGTAAGTTCAGGGTGCTTGACGGCCACTCTGATGCTCTTCTGAGATCCAGGTTTCGTGCGATCGTGGGAGATCTGTTGGGGCCCTTTGGAGGCCGCCACACTCATCGTGGACAATCCTTTCAAACGAAACAATCTTCGACTTGTCTTTCCTCCTGATGATTCAGGAGCTTCAACTGGCACGAGTTGAGGTCAGTCAACATTCCACTATCGCCATCGCGTAAACTGAACTCTCGCCGTTGGAGGGTGGGGTGGTGGCTCACTCTTGATTCTCTGAAGAAGATTGATACAAACCTGGAACTTGAGACCCCTAATAGTGTTGAGTTCAGTTCAACAAAGAGCCAAAGCCCTCTGTAACCGCGGCATCCCGCATGGGTCACTCATTTGGCTCTTCTTGAACCGAAGGTGGGCCCCAGTAGACCTGCTTGCTGTGCTGGATGTGATGAAATATGTTCCAACACGCATGATTTGCCGCTGTTTGTAGTGTCGAATTGAATGATATTGTTGATGACACAGAATGTAAATCTGTTCACATCCGAAAGATCACCTCACCAAAACGGAGTCGAATGAATAGCCATCTCAAGCTGGAGTGAATAGACTCTGCTCTACTCGCATCGCTTGGACGAAGCATTGCTCTGACCTTCTGGAGCGATTAGCCATGCCTTGTAGCTCAGAGTGTGGGGATAGTTGAAGCGCCGATGATCGGCAGACCGCGGCAAAGTGGCATTGTCCTGAAGGATCCCCCACAGCCCGTGCTGACGTTTGGCTGAAGCTGACGTTTGTTTCGGTTGCTTCTGCAAAAGTTTTCCAAAAGAAAACATGCGTTGCAGAAGAAAAGTGTTCCAAAAAGAAACAACAGTTTTTCGAAGAGACTGTACATGCACAGGGATGGAGATCCTGCATCTCCGTGAGCGGTGTCAAGAAACCGCGCCGGGATCTGTTGTCTTCAAACTCGGTCTGGGTGTCGTGGGTGAGCCTAGCAGGTTCGTGGGTGACCTAGCACACAACCACCCACCCTATGAGTGAATTCCCTGATGCATCATGTATTTTCCGACTTTCCGATACCGTTCGCTTCCTAGATATCCCGGAAAGAACTCCTTTCGTGATACCCTACACATCCCAAAACATGTTTCACAACACGGTGATTTGGTGATCACCCTGTGCATTTCGGGCCATTTTGTTAAAGCAATATGACATGTAGACACGTAGCTTAAGCATCTGGCCCAGCAATGCGCAAGACACGGTAGTGCGTGTAGCGACTCAAATCCTGCAATGCGGGAATATCTAACTTCGAATTGACAAGTTGCAACTTTGAGAACCTTGTATGCATCTCACAACTCACAGGTAACCAGGTATTCCTTCTCCCCACTATCCACTTGCGATTTGTGAAAGTAGCCTTATACTACTTACCAGCTTATTGATCGATTTGCACGTCATTGTCCAGAAACCCAGGTAAACATGTGCATTAGAGTATAAAACATATTCACGAGATCGTCTATGTACAAATCAGCTTGCTTGATTATTTTCTACAACCCTTTACATGTATTTGAACCAAGCGAGATCGACTAGAACCCTCGCTGGGTTCTTTTCTACAACCCTCTGTTTATAAGAGTGTCGTGCCTCTTTTGTCTAAATTTCCTCCTTTATGAAGGCCTCACTCCTTATCACATCTGATTCATTAAAGCTCTTGGTCCCGTGTCCAGCGTCCTCCCAGTTCATGATACAGTCGTTCCCGTTGTTATTGTCATACATATCCGCCGACCCCGGTGCAAGCAAGGGGGAGCGCGTCAGGGAATACAGGTACTGTAGTGTAGCAGAAAAGATCTGACACGTTGAGAAAAACACTCCTTTCCGTGGGCTTTGCGGGGGTCGAAAGACCAATGACGAAGGCTGTGGCGAGACCAATGACGAAGGCTGTGGCGACTCTTTCTTTTTTGGAGGTCGGATGTCGGAGGCCTGTTTTGACACAGAACTAGATGGGGGAAAGCTGCAGCTGTGGCGAGGCCAGCCTTTTTTGGGCCTTTCCGTGGGCGTTGTGTGGCCCGAGAGATCAATGA